AAATAACATACCTGCACAATAATGAAGCAACGCGTGAGCATTGTGTTGTCGCTGCTGCCGCCTTGCCTACTGAAGCTGCGCTGGGGCTGGGAGCCTTTTCTATCCGATGCTGATGACGTGATGAAGTTGGGCTTATCAAGGTTTGTTGACTCAGCTGATAGTCAGCGTAGATACTTGGGGATAGCACAGGCAGAATAGTTTAACTAAGTCCGCTGCGAGACAGGAAGGGCGGACTGCATATATCTGCGGTGATCGGCGTGTTGGTTTGCGCAAGTTGACGCCTTCCGAGCCGCCGCGCCGTTCAGGCAGAGTGCCGGGGAATCCACAAGGCTGGCCAGAAACTGCACAATGAAGAAGCACCGCGTGAGCATTGTGTGGTCGCTGCTGCCATTTTGCCCACTGAAGCTACGCTGTGGCTAGGAGCCTTTTATATCCGATGCTGGTGACGTGATGAAGTTGGGCTTGATCAAGGTTTGTTGACTCAGTTGATAGTGAGCGTAGATACTTGCGGACAGCACAGCCACAATAATTGAAGTAAGTCGATCTTTCGGCTGCAAGACAGGAAGGGCGGACTGCATATACCTGCTGTGATCGGCGTGTTGCTTTGCACAAGTTGACGCATTCCGAGCCGCCGCGCCGTTCAGGCGGAGTGCCGGGGAATCCACAAGGCTGGCCGGAAACTGCACAATAAAGAAGCACCGCGTGAGCATTGTGTTGGCGCTGCTGCCGCCTTACCCACTGATGGTGTGCACTTTATATGCACATGATGGTATGCACTTTCATCAAGTATCTGCAAAACCATGCTTGAATTTCGCTCGTGCATATTGCGTTGACATGCCAAATGAATGATACCACAACGCATACAAAGTGGTATGCACTTTCAACAATTGCAGGTGACATATAAAACTAAATTAATAATTTTATTTCAAATACAACTAATGTAGCCTCTTCAGGCTGCTCACATTGGAACGATTATACCTCTAATGTCACAAATTAGTGTCACAAAATTACTATTGTGTGCTGCTAAACTATGGTCATGACTCATTAGTTTCAATGATTCTTGTTGGCCAAAAAGGCAGCACCCCTCACTTAAGCATCACAGGCTGTCTAATGAAAAAAACGCGAACAAACGTGGAAATACGTTTAGAAAACTTTCAAGTGATCCCACTGGGGACTGCCGATTTGAAGCGATTTTTGGAGCAGTCAAATTTTAGTTTTGGAGCACTTTGGAGCAGTAAAACATTAGTTTTGGAGCACTTTGTTTCAGTAAGATTTTAGTTTTGGAGCAAGTAATCTTGCAATTAGGAGCATCTTGGAGCCCTGAAATTTTACTTCTCGAGCATTGTGGAGCATGTAATCCTGCCATTAAGAGCATTTTAGAGCAGTAAATTTAGTTCTAGAGCAGGTAATTTTACTATTGAGAGCACTTCCGCATAGGTATAAGTCAAACATCGTTATAACAAAGTTGAAGGGAAGTCGTAATTACTTCATTATAACTATTAGCTTGTTATAGTCATTATCCATTTCTACCAACAATTAGCCAGCAAGAGAGAATGTACTCACTACCGAATATCACTGCAGCCCACCGCGCAGAGAAGAACGGCCGTCACAAGGAAAAAAGCTAGCAAAAACATTTGGGCAGGTCCCGCGTACCTGGGAATGGACGTTATGCGAAGCATGCGGAGGGAAGGTGACCGTATTGCAGTTTTTTTTATTGAGCGACACGTCATGAAATTACGCAAAATATATGTACAAATCATTTAACCATATGGTGTAGTAGCGCAAATTCACGGGGACGAAGAGGACAAGAAAACACGACACTCAATATGTACAAATGTGTCACGCACGCACATACGCTAAACAGTTGCAAATGCTTATATAACCAGTTGTTTGCACTCGCGCAATAATGTCAACTGGAACATGCGTATTAGCAACACCAGAAGCTGATTTGATGAGCTGATTCTCGCTAAAATGCTGGCCCTGGACACTGCTACATAAATCAACTTCAGCGCGTGGCACTTGAGCATAATTGACGTAAACCCGAATTGACGACTATATCAAAGGAATATATATGTAATGTTTATAAAATTGGGTAGGCAGCACTGCAATCACTATGGACGTTTCGAGAAGATTAGCGTCCATTTGACAAGTAGTTCCGAGACCTAGCGTAGCTCTGTGGTAAAATGCTTAACTGCCACGCAGAAGGCTTGGGTTAGATTCCTGCTGGGACCCTGAAATTTATTATTTGCATTCCTCGGGGGGTCACCGCTGCCTATTTTGGAATTTTCTTTGCACTGACATTTATCTCTGCCTTCGTTGGGTCAACGCTACTGATGTCGGGTATTGCTTAACGCTGATGCATTAAAATTGCCCATGTGTGTTCTCGTCGTTCTTGGATACATACTAAGTGTCCATCAGTTGTCGCACATACCCGCATACCAGCGGCACATACTCGCCCGTGGGTATGTGCCACTGTCTGGCGTTCAGTATTTGAAGAAGTACGCGACGAGAATGTGACATTATTCATGTGTTGACCAGTGCATCATATTCGTCGAACTATCTTACCCTCCCATCAAATTTTGGTTCACGGCAAGTTAAGGGTGTGATCATGAGACCACCCAAATGTAAGTGGCTCGATAGATAGATAGATAGATAGATAGATAGATAGATAGATAGATAGATAGATAGATAGATAGATAGATAGATAGATAGATACGCTCAAAGTTGCCGAAGTTCGCTAGGAAATACTTCGCGTTTAATGATTAGGAACAATGCACCTTTTCCCACCAAATTCGGCGCACCAGGTGGAAGATCACTTCGAAAAAAAATATCCATAATAGACTTTTACCGACTCTTCTTTACACAGATGGCTGCTTTTCAAGCTTCATAAGCTATCTCGAGTCCGTCCTTGTGGTAACCGTAAACACCAAAGAAGCGTCGCAGCAAGTCTCTCGCATCCAGCGCTTGCGCGGGCATTGGTACGTCGGGTTCGCTGACATTAGGCTCCGGGGTGTCCACACATTCGTCACTGTTGTCATGCCCCCCCCCCCCGTCACCACGTGCACAGTTTCAACATCTGAAAACTCTTTCGTTGTCACCGCGTCAGCTCAGCATCGGCACCGACGTACATGTACGTGCAGTGTAAAGGGTATGACGTTGATGGCAGGCATGGCGGGTTTTCTTTAGGGTAGCTGGCTCCCCGCCGTCATCCGCATCGCCGATCTTCGCCAGTAAAGAGACGCGTTCGTAAGAAAAAACGAAGGTTTATTTACATGATAGTTGAAAGATGGAACTTTACTATTCAGCAGAGAATCAGCTATGTACAAAAATTCAGCCCATGATTCCGTTCTTATTTACAAGATGTCTTCGGTTTTTGTAGCCCACCGTCTCCTTACACGGAGGTCCGAAGAAGGCGGTGACCACTCTTGCCACAAATCAGGTGACGAAGTCTCAGTGCTCCATCCACCAGAAACGGTGTAGATATTGCACCACTCAGCTGGGTGAAAATGTCCAATGGTAGCACGAGCGCACTACACAATGACGCACCCGGACCATGCCTTGAAGGCACCGCAGGGCGAGGAGGTGGGGTCTGTAGAGGAAAATTTGAGCTCCTTCGGGAGATGGCCGCTGACACGAACGTCAGCAGCGGTCCATGGCTGCTTTCAGCTACAGGCATCGAGAACTCTCTCGAACATGGCAGTCCAAACGCTCGATTCCTGAGAACGGCTTCTTCGACGTCTTCCCACGCTTCCGGACTGACGGTGATTTTGTGATCATTTCGCGTCGGCGACGACAGCTGAGCCAAGAGGTTGACTCCGTGAGAACCTCCACAGGGGCGCCGTCCCACGCTGCTCGAATCCGTTCAACAAAAGGGTTGTCTCGCGAAGCTTTTGTTGTGACCCCCCACTACCTGGAACATCTACAAGACAGCATCTTGCATACTGGGCTCCGGAGGGGTTGAAAGCATCCTAGCAGACCGGCTTACGCACAATGGTGTCTGCCCGGACGAACTGCCGGACCAAACGTAACAGCAGAAGTTAGACACAACGCCGGCGTCAAGAAAACTGTTCCATGACGCCTGGACCTAGTCGCCCGCGGCACCTTCACTGGAGAACTCCCTGAAATCTTTGACAACTTCCTTTTTTTTTCTCGACGCTGGATTCAACGGCTCGCAACATTACTGACTTCTGCTCGATTGTTATATTTTTGCGCTTACGTTTGCCGCTGCCATTGTCCATCTCGTGTCGGGCAGCGAAACTAATAGATGTGGTGTTGCCCTTCTACAGCGAACGACAAGGAACATCTACGCAATCTCCGCCGTCCTTGTACGGAGCAGAAGGGGAGGAGGAGGTCAGATGCGTGGGCGGGTCAATGAGTTCTACAAGAAAGGAGGCCGGCTGACGCGCATGCTCGCACGAGTTGCTGCGTGGGCAAGTCCATTTGTTCCTGAGGAGAAAGGAGGCAGGGAAAACACCCACGCGCGTGTTGGCAGGCGGCTCCCGGCGAGCACAAGGCGCGAGTTATGAAGATTCGCAGCCGTGATGATACGTAAACCATCGCGCGCATAAGATATTGGATTGGCGTATACCAAAATGATCAGTAAACATGGTTTGTTAAATCCATTGCGGTGAAATTTTCACTCCGTTAAAACGAGGTTTTAAATACATGGGCGTCTATGAGAATTTCAATGGGAATTATAATTGCTTCGTTATATCCATTTGTTCGTAATTTTCCTCTTCATTATAACGAAATTCTACTTAACACGAAGCAGCGCGAGAAATGAACGTGGGCTCTACCGCTGCTCGACAGTGGTGCTCTTAACATGAAATCAAGTGCACACACGATTCAGCTTGATTGGATGCTCTGGATACCATCGTTCTATCGAATTCTAACTTCAATGGCAGCTTCACATCTTTGGAACGTGAAAAGTTGGTTATCAAACCAGTACTTGAGGCCTTTTGTGGTCTCTCGCCCTTTAATTTTACAAAATAAACACTGGGTCGTGCTTGTTGCATGTTGGTTTTGTATTTATTTCGTATTTATTCGCGTAATGAGCGCGCTTGCATAATAGATGCACCCTCTACATTCATATCCCGCAGTCCCGTGCACCGACACCTGGCGCTTACTTACCCTTTGGATCTCCCTTGTTATTTATTTATGCCAACCCTCCTCGGCTACCTCGGCTCGCTCCCCCTTTACCCGTTGCCGCTTGCCGTATTGTTTTTCTTTCTATCCGCGCGTGGCATGTCCTCCATCTTCTTTATCTGTGCGCCACAGCGGGGTTCATGAATGCGAGTGTAAAGACATTGTGGCGAATAAGCACACAGCGAGCGAGAGCGAGCGAAGGTCACGAATCTGCCCGCGCGGACCGACTATTGCTTCCTGCAAATACAAAACTTTAATGCCCAATGCCGTGCATGCTATTTTCGAGCGATGATGGCCGGATTTCCTGTCACGAAGGGTCATTTGTCGCTATCCCATCTCAGGTTTCTGAAAAACCAGAAAAAACATCGCATGTCACTAGAGAAGATCGTGACAATTTCCACGACATGGTAGCACTCCCAATACTCACATCGCTTGTTCGCCACGCGTACAGAAACTTCTCATGTGGAAGTGAGGCAGCGGCCGTATTTGGTCGTTAATCTTGTCGACGGTTTGATTTGATATTTCGGGGGTAACTTGCTGGACTGTTCGTTACTTGCTACAATGACAACGGTGTCGTCACGCGAGCTTGCCGCGAAGTTGGCAAAGTGCGTTGTAGCGCGCGCTTCTGGGCGCTCCTCAAGATCACAGCAGATACCACTGTTGCGGTTGTGTGATTGCGAGAGAAGATAGCCGCAAAACGCTTCTATGGCATGCGCAGGCGGCGCGGGGACAGCTTGCAGAAGATAGCACCATCAACGACCGAAAATGAGCAAAATGCAACAAAGAACCTGTTTCCAAACAGTCCACGCGTATACAAAAAGCTGAGCGACCCAACTTTTTTTTTTTGCATTACAGCATTTATTTGCTTACGCTGAAAAAGGTTTCATAAAATCTGCACCGCATATTAAACGCACCCCCAACTTTGCTTCGATTTTCGGAGAAAAACAGAGCGTTCATTAGCGAGTAAATACGGTATGCGTTGCTGCGAACGGGTTTTGTTTGCAAACGCGTTTTGTTCACGAATAGGGTACATATATATAGCGTTAGCGTACGTGAGTAAACCAATGCAGAACTAACATCGCTGCAATCACCGTCAGGAACAGTGACATATCTCTCGCCTTCTGCTATAGTTGCACTCATCGGAGCTTTGGTTGAGGTCCAGCCACAGAATGAGGTTGAATTTTATTGCTCCGCAGAAGTACTGGTGGCCAATTTTCAAAAGCCGCAACAGCCTGTTTGCAAGAAGGCGAAGAATTATCTCATTAGACTCGACTGCTGTCTCCGCTAATTAAAACATTAAAAATGCTATATAAATAATGCCGCATTTACAGTGTCAAGCGATTTCAAGATTTCTGACGTCGTTCAGGGAGCCGCATAAAACTGCCCTGCGAACCGGATGCGGCCCATGGGCCACAGGTTGGGGATCCCTGAGATAGATAATTCGGCGCAGTTTAGCGCAATTTACGTCGATTTCATAAAATTGGCGAAACAAATCTCGTTTGGTACACTTTTGCGCAGTTCGCGCAGGAATGGGATCCATAAAAAAATACCAAGGCTGGGCGAGGCGCATACAATATTTAATAAACCAAAACAAACTAACGAAACCCAAAAAGGGGGGAAATAAGCAGAGCGAAATCGGTGGTGCTTGAACGCATGGACTTATGACCAAGTTAGTGCTCGCACAGTAAAATATAGCAATTCGGTCACATTTACCAATGAAATATTCGTTTCAAAGTGCAGTTCAAGTGTAACGAATAGCTTAAAATGCATGGGTTGCAGCCGCATCAGGCAACCTTCAATGCGGGTATATACTGTAAACTCGATTTTTATTAAACGAGCTGCATGAACACCTAAGCGTAAGGCAACCTTTGCAAGCCGTATACCTAAGACAATGCAACGCGCTGCACACGAACACGCATCAGCTCCAGTATAACGGTAGTTTACAAGGATGCGTGCTGGGGCGGACGCATACACCGACATACATTCGGGCCCTCGCAAGGAAAAAAACGTCTCTGATAGTAGCCATAACGCAACGACACTGTAGCTGTTTAAAATGGAACGTACAACATATGAAACTGCCATAGACATGTTCAATTCACTAGCACACAATACGAACCGGTTTACGCGCCCAAGGCATGATCAACGCCTACAGCTAACAAACGCCCCAGAATTATTAAACAAAAACAGTTATCACTCGCGAGCAGGCCCCCCTCCAAAACAACTGCCGACAGAGACGGGCGCCGCCCCAACTCAGCTCAAATCTGCCGCCGAATTCCCGCTGCACGTGCATGCGCTCCCTGCTTCACACCCCATACAAAATATAAAGCACGTTCCACAGCAAATGTCGTCGAAAGACGATAATCCTGCGTCTGGAGAGAGTAAAAAAACGCTTATTTGATGTTCTGCGCTAGAAAATCGGTAAATTCTGTAAGTCGGAAAATTGGAAAATCGGAGGCGCTGCATTAGAGTATATCGATCCGTGCAGCGAAGGTGAACGAGCACATCGAGGCACGTTAGACACGAACGCTATCTGGCAGTTATCTTCGAAAGCATGCGCGCCTGTCTCGGAGCCGATAAAGTGTAAAACGCAAAGCGATGGGCATGTGCCACCACTGTGTCGTCTTAGCAAACCATTGGAAACACTTGCCTTTTTGAGCACAGCGTCGGATTGTCAGCGCAGCATGACAAATGCTATTGGATTGGATTGGATAAACTTTTATTTGGTCCTCCAAAACACAGATCACTGTGTTACGGGCAGCTCCCACGTGGGGACTGAGATGCCAAGCTCCTCAGCCGCCTCGCGGGCTTGGTGGACAGCCCAGAGCTGATCTGCCAAGGACGAGCTGCGGATTGCCGCCTCCCATCTGGCAGAGGTGATGTGCGATAAATGAGCAAATTTGGTGCACTGCCAGAGCATGTGTTTTAATGAAGCTATTTCCCCACAATGTGGACAAAGATTACTTGGGTATAGGTCAGGGTACATGATGTGTAACATTTTCAAAGTAGGGTACATCCGCGTTTGCAAAAGCCTTAATGTAAGTGCTTGGGGCCGGGTTAGATTTTTGTGAGGTGGAGGAAAAATCCTTCTAGACAGGTGCTATGGTCCGTGGAATTACTAATGTATGCCTTCTCTAGTATAAAGACACATACAGGATATTGACGCGTTGTTATGGTGCCTCAGATATGAGCAATAGTTGCTTTTTAGTTGACAATCGCACAAGTATGAACAATGATATTTGAGCAGTACTGGTGGGTGCGGCGGATGGGATAGGCCGTTTGGGAAATATTTTGGGAGCATTGTTAAACCAGACAAACAGACAAATGTACCGACAGAGAGACAGACCTAAATTTTCGCGTCGAAGTACCCCAAGGAAGACTATCGTCTTTAAAACTCGTCCGTGTTTAACTTCGTACAACTTTGCCTTTACCGTGATAAAATACCACAGACAAACGAGATCGCCACGTAAATGAAAGCTCACTTATTGTGCACATGGTGCTGAAAACGTGGTGAACATGGTGGAAACAGAGCGCCGACAGCAGCGATCTAGTACATACCTGGCGAGTGTTCCATGATACGAAGCCAGACATCCTCGCTTGTGTAAAGCGCATCTTCATAACTTGCAGCACTGTCAGAGCACAAAACACGAACACAGAGCGCAAGCACATTTCAAAATAAGAGAGAAATTGACTCAAACCCGACCCTTCAAGAGGTGAACACCGGGTAGCACGTCCAAACCAGTGAAACAGTTACAGCCGCGGAGACGCACACCGCATTTGCGCATATGAATTTCCTGATGCTGACTAGAAAGCTTTGTTATGGCATTTGAATATATAAAAATTGTGTATATATGAACTAAATAAATACGTAAAGCGTATATTATATTGATTTCAAAAAAAGAAAGAAACAATGAACTTTAAATGCGCGAAACACAGTGAACGCAAGTCGGAACAAACAAATGAACAATAGCGATACAAACCACCCCAAAGAATTCATATATAGTGAATTAAATATATACAATCGTTGATTCAGACGTATACACGCGAGATTTTATTGTGACTAATATGGACATATAAGCATTTTAACATAATTAACCAGATTTTAACTACATATAAGCATGGTACTACGTCACAGTACTTGCAAGGGAATCTTGAACCATGTCTTCAGTATGTGTGTGCTCTTCTGCTCTTCCCCTTTTTTTCTTTTCCTTTTTTCTGAAGCACGTGGGACTTTATGATGCGCATTGTAATGCTAACCAGTGGAGATAGCGCTGACCTGTTATTTAAAGGAGCTTTTAAAGCTATGTATGAATTTTTGTCACATTACTCTGACGAAAGCTGATCCACCAGCTGAAAACGCTAAGTAAAGACGCTTCCGTTCGTCATCTTTTTCTTGCATACAATAAGTCGGGTCCAGCGTGAATGACGTTAAAAGAGTATGATATATATATATATATATATGTATGTGTGTGTGTGTGTGTGTGTGTGTGTGTGTGTGTGTGTGTGTGTGTGTGTGTGTGTGTGTGTGTGTGTGTGTGTGTGTGTGTAACGTAAGAAAGTAGCGATGGTTAGGAGTTAGTAGTAGAGGCAGAGAAGGAAGAAGTCAGAGTGGAATTAACTAAGAGTATGAGCCAGGCCACGTCTCCCATTCATCGTAGCGTCACACAAGTCGACAGGATGAAGACCTGGCAGCCACTTCATCGACCGGCCACCATTATCGAAGACCTCAGCGAGACGCAGTGACCGAACGCGGACCACAGAAGTGCATTGCCACTAGACACCGTTGCCACCATCATGATGAAATCACCGACTGACATTATCATCCCCAAGTGCACCGGAGCAGGGGACGATGTACCTGTTCGAGCTCCGCGCTACCGCTGCGCCTTGGTCGGAACGGGAGATGATCATCAACTTCACTGACTACATCTCCGGTGAGGCATTTAAGTTTTGCCTCACCCACGTCTTTGAAAATGACGAGTCATGGCAAAAGATCAAAGAAGAGATGTTTACTCGTTTAACGACTATGAACAAGACCGACTTATCGCCGACCATCTGGAGAAAACCGCACACTATCGTCAATTCCCTAAGCAGTCCTCAAGCATTCGAAAGCCTAACGCGAGTCGACAACTGCCTCAAGACGAAGTGGCACATGAGTTTACTTACAGAAGGCCATGTGTATATTGGGAAAAACCTAACCGTCAAGCGCGCATCCTTTCTGCGTGAAAGTCAGCATTTCCGAAGTCATCGCTTCAACATACGACATCAGACGTCGCTCACCCTACTGATGCCTTTCATGCTTTGTCTCGCATACATGGTCCACCACCTGGTTTTTTACGACGCAGCTCTTCAAAGGCTCCTGACGGTCACTATACGTGTCATAAGGACGCCTTGTTCATGGTACACCAGCTGACACATGAAGAAAATGCCGAACAACGCCATGACGACTCAAAGAGTGAAAATCAGTCTCCACACATTGGATCAGCTTATTTTCCGTCTAGCACAATTGGGCTACCTCCTGGTTTTCCGTCACTTGGCTCTTTCGTCGCTCACAACGCCCACCTCACATCTAGCACGCTCACAATGATCGGGATAGAGCTGCGGAGCTCGGAAAATACTCAGCCAAGCCCTGAACCTACCATCCAGATTCAGGCGCAAGAACCACTCGCAGCGAACAGTGAAGAAGAAGCCCCTGATGATGTATCTATCAACTCTGAAGCATTACCTTCAATACCCGAAATGCAGCACAACAACCTAGAGGCTACTACCTGCCCACTCGACACCACATTCAATTGCCCAGAAAGTCAGTGTCATGGTGAAAAAGAGCTGCCACCTCAGGTCTTTTCGCAGCAACATCATCAATGCCAGCAAGTCCAAGAACAACAGAGATTCCAAGGGCTATACGAACAAGGACGACGACGAATGGAATCATCTTCAGAAGAACACACGCGGTTTATGGAAAGCCGTTTGCAAACATGTCAACCAAGCCAACGACATATTCAAGGTTTCTCACTCAAAACAAAGAAAGCATCGAATCCAGGATATTTTCCCAAGGGACGTCGAGTAAAATTTCTCCAGTCGAGATCAAGACTCAGGCAACACGACATACGACGTCGAGAAAGGCGCCAAACCGTACCCTGTATTCCACAAGGACGCAGAAATGACCGCAGTAGCATCGGTCAACAAGCACGCAAACGGGTGGCGACGCATGGGTTCCAATCAAGACAAATAGCACGACACCTGCGCAAATCATCCAGCGAATGTCTCAAGGCCATCACACCACGTTCATTCATCGCAAGAATGCCGGCTGTGTTTCCGTCTGATTCCACGCTCAAAGCATGCTTATGTTGTCCAGAGCACAACAGCCAGCCTCTCCCTCCAGAGCTGTACTTGATACCCCGCATTGCTGTCCTCTCCTGTGAAGCTATGGTGTGTTAACGGAAACTTCCTCAGACTTGGAATGATCTCTTTTTGAGAGTGTTCAGTTCTAAGCCGTGCATGTTCAGTTTTCATTTATGTTCGTCTGACGCGACTTCTTTCGGGGGAGGGGGAATCCTGTAAAGTAAGAAGGTAGCGATGGTTAGGAGTTAGTAGTAGAGGCAGCGAAGGAAGAAGTCAGAGTGGAATAAACATAGGGTATGAGCCAGGCCACGTCTCCCATTCATCATAGCGTCATATATATATAGTGAAGAAGTGTACACCTAAGCCTCATTTTTCCGTGTTTTGACTCAATATTAATGATATCTAACAGACAATAATGCCAAGGAATGTATAGGGAAAGTTACTTGAACCAATGTAATGTAAATAAGAAAAAAGAAAAGTGGGTGAAAAAATATTTTGGCAAGTTATTTGTTCACCCACTTTTCTCTCTTCCTATATACATTACATTGGTTCTATTAACCACACACACACACACCCACACACACACACACACACACACACACACACACACACACACACACACACACACACATTATATATATATATATTATATATAAATATATATATATATATATATATATATATATATATATATTATATATATATATATATATATATTGAAGAAGTGTACACCTAAGCCTCATTTTTTCGTGTTTTGACTCAATATTAATGATATCTAACAGACAATAATGCAAAGGAATGTATAGGGAAAGTTTACTTGAACCAATGTAATGTAAATAAGAAGAAAGAAAAGTGGGAGAAAAAATATTTTGGCAAGTTATTTGTTCACCCACTTTTCTTTCTTAAATATATACAAATATATTTTAAATATATATATATTTAAAATATATATTTAAATAAAATATTTTAAAAAATATATTTAAAATATATAAAATATATATATATATATATATATATATATATATATATATATATATATATATATATATATATATATATATATATATATATATATATAATATATATATATATATATTTGCAGCAAGGAAGTAACTCTGGCGCCCCGGTAGAATAGCGGAAAATAGAGTAGGACACACGTTGGTTTTGATCGGTATATTCTGACTGACATTTCGGCTGCTGGACCAGCCTTTGTCAGAGTAACAAGTACATGTCAACGCGCTTGCTTATAAATACGATTCACATTTGATAATAAAGATCGGTGACGTAGATCAGCGGTTAGACAATTCATAGCGTGAAGTGTTCATGACAGTACAGTTATATATCTAGCAAAAGCATAAATAAATATATATACATATATACAAATGTAGAACCCCAAATAACAGAAATCACTTCTTCGTGCACACAGCATAACACGGTAAGAACCGGAGATAGATAATGATAAAACAACAATGAAAACATGGATATCAAAATATAAAAAACTGCGTGATATTACAGATTGCGCGTCATATACACAGCTCAGTCATTGTGATATGAATACGATGAGTAGTTGATGCTTTCATTGCGCGTGCGCGTTAAAATACAGTCTTGCATCCACATTCGTGGTAGCGGCGGCGATTAATAAACTCAAGTGACTGTAACATTGGATACACAAATATACACAATAACAGACGCATTAGAGACGGTATTCAACAAGCTTAACCGATCACGCTACGGGCCATGGGTTAAGGCTGATAATGCTTGGTGGGCACACTAGAAAGCGTGCCTGTACTTTCGTTTATGCCTGATGACACGGTGTTGAGTTTGTAGATGAGGTAAGATTTTTGGATTTCCCGATCGTGGTGAGAATTAAACGCCGATTCAAGTATACTGACCCCAATTTTTTCGAACGAGTGCCCTGGCAAGCGATTATATTTTGAGAGCGGGAGGTTAGGTTGCGTATTGGTATGTGATTTATGGTGTTTGAAGCGTATTCGGAACGATGTTTCTGTATGGCCAATATACTGTTCATGGCAGACGGCGCACGCGAGCATGTATATGACGTTAGAGCTATCGCAATTAAAGGGGCCGTGAATTTTAAGGGTGAAATTAGACGACATACTAACGGCTTCCTGGGTGGTTTGCATATGTAGGCAAACCTTGCAGCATGGTTTGTTCCAAGGTGCACAACCAGATGTTGTGGGTTCGTTTAATTTTTGACGATGTTAGCATATCGCGGACACTCTTAGAGCGCCGGTAGACTACGCGAGGTGGTTCAGGAAAGATATTTTTC